GTTAACACAACGCAGCTGCTAGTAGAGTGCAAAAGGTTGATTAATGCTTCTTTTTCTTGTTTAAATAATTTTAAAAAATCTTTTCTAAGAGTAGTTTTCGATAAAAACTGTACATTAGGATTGTGTACAATTTTAATATAACAGTACCAATTAAGATGCTCAACAAAACTAAGTGACTGATCTAATGTTGCTATCAATCTCGCAACTTCCATACAATTGACTTGCGTATCGTATTTTAAAGTGGTTAGACCACCGGTGGTGCAATCAAATGATAATTGTGTTTAGCAGAGTTCGAACCCTCCGGTTTGGCCACGTTTTGAAGACACTTTTCGGAGTGTCTTCTCAAGTGTATTGTGCTATAAATAGTGTCACCTTGTAAATTAGAATAGCAATATTTATATTGAGCTATGTGTTTATTGTTATCGTCCTTGTCGACCTCCTCAAATACCTCGAAGTGCTCCCAAATTATGGAGGTGCGCTTGCATTTCCTCTTGAAGGTTACAACTCTTGCAGCAATACTTGGCTCTCCACGCCCACCATTGCGACCACAACCTCCACTAGATCCACCATGGCCGGGATTTGGAATTGGACATTGTTCTTCGGGTGCTTGTGTTTGCGATTCATGCGTAGTAAAAACATTAGTAGGAATTGGACTTTGAGGATCAACGAGATTATCACTATAATCAAAGGATTCCATTATAAAAATTAAATTAAAATTAATTTAACAAAAAAAAACACAAAAAATAAACAATGAGCTTAGAGAACTTGAAGTTGAAAAGAGCTTTGAGAGCTTTGAGACTTGAGACGAGAGCACTTTGAGAGAGAGAGCTTTAGGATTTTGTGTGAGCTTGTGAAAAAATTGTGAGAGAGATTTGAGAGAAAGTGAGATAGATTGAGAGAGATTGAGAGAGAATGTGAGAAATGTTGTAAAGAAAATGTTTGGGGGATGGGGTATTTATAGGAAAATTTTTTGGTTAAAAAAATCAATTTTTTCCCCAAAATTTTAATTCCAACGGCTACTTTTTGTCATGGTGGATGAAGCTTCGGGTGATGAGAAGGGCTTTTTGGGCAACAACACAAAATTGAGCCGTTGAAGTCGGGCTTTCGGGTGGCAGTTGGGTCGGGCAGCAACGGTCAAAAAATTAACCATTGATTCGGGCATAGGGTATCAATGGGCGGCAAGCTTGGTTCAAATTCTCTTCTTCGGGTTGCTCGAGCCCGTTTAATTAGGCTAGACAGGCGGACATAGAGTCCTACCCGCCGAATCCGAAAAAATTTAAGTATCGGGCAAGCCTGCCGTCCAAAGTTCCAGCACTACTTACTACAAAATTTAGAACATTAATTTAGCAACAATGCAAACTTATCAATTAATTGGAGTAATTAATTTGGTGCATTGGTGCTGGTCTTTTACATTTTCTTGTTCCAATTTTTTATTTCAACTCCAAAATAGGAAAAAGAAAATGTGCATGTTTGGTAAAACTATGGAAAAGCTATTGAAAAGTTTTTATAAAATACAGGGGAACGGATTTCAAAACTTTACATAAAACTATCAGTGTCATGATGCTATATAAAACAAGGAATTATTGCTATAATTTTACCTATTTAGAAACGAATTTTAGGATTATCAAGACATTCCAAAATCTTTCGAGCTTCCTCACTAGTGGTCTTTTCCTCGAATCAACAATGTGTGAGCAGTGACAAAATCAAGATCTAAATTCAGTGGAGATATATAATTAAGAACAAAATTATAACATAAACTTGTAAAAAAAATAAAGTGAAACTTCCAATATTTGTATTGCATAATCTATAATTATATCATGTACACGATAAGATATGAATATAAACATTCAAATGAATCTACACAGAAGAAATACAGAAACAAATAAAAACAGAGAGACTTGGTGGTGGGGGAAAATTATCTATATAGTCATTTGCCTCGTAGCAAACTAATAACACTATGAGATATTACTATTCAAAAACATTACTTCTGTGAGAAAATATGAAACCTAACAATTCTACAGGATAAAAAGACAAAGTTGACCTCATACCAGATAGAGTTAATCCTTGATTAATCAAGTTACTCGGTGATTAACTGGTGGCAAGGCATCCCTGCCGCAGCCCACGTGCCTCCGTCTCCGCCCACACCGCACCGCAGACGCACGATGATATCCGCTAGTCGCACGATAAGATCCGGATGCCGCAAAGCATGAACCAACGAAATCGATGACGCACGAGATCGGCTTCGTCACTCGCACGGAGATCCGCGGCGATTGTCGCCAAGTCTGTGAGGCATCTTAGATTCGAACCAGAGTAAACAAATGCCGACATCACTAGCAACCATTGTCGTCGGCGTCGCGAGCAGTCCTCGCCGTACGTTTGGTCGCATTCTTCTCCGGTGAAGCTCTAATATTTGACGGCGGGCGGCGACTAGGATCTTAGAGTTGAGGAAGACGATTCTCAGCGTTGAGGAGGAAGCTTCTTTAGGGCAAAAATGCTATTTCACCAAACAAAAGTGAAAGGAATCAAATAATCTTCAGAAAAGTAACTTTGTTGCGAGAATGGGTTCCAAAAGTGGTATTGGAAGCAATTAACTCCTTGTTTCCTGCGGTAAGCCCAGAAGGTAAAAAGTCGTGTTCTCTTAAGAAAAAGCAGGATTTTGAAGAGCACAACATACTAATTAAGGGGCTATTATTTTGTCGTTTTTGAGTTAGGTGATTTGAGTGTAGATTTTGAGTTGAGTTTGAGTTATAATTTGAGTTAAAATTGTAACTTGAGTTTGTATTTAGTTGTGTACATTTGAGTTATGGTTTGAGATGAGAATCTTTTTGAGTTTGTGTTTGAGTGAGTCAAAACTTGAATTTGTATTTAAATAGTATTTTAATAAAAACTCAATGCTGATGAAAAATTTTAATAGGGTATATTGATGGGGTTTTATTCGTCTTTTCGTTGGCAACGCATAGAAAAAAAATCATCTCAATCAGAATTAAAACGAAAAAGTTATAGCATTTTTAAGAATAGAAAAAATATTGTTCATTAATTTGAGTTCGAGTTTCTGAACTCGAGTTGAAAGGAAACTTGAACTCGAGTTTTAGTCACAAACTCGAGTTCAAACTTAAAAGAACATGAATTTGAATAAAGTTGTAACTCGAGATTTTTTTTTAGTTTTTGATTCAAGAAATGAGCTTCCGAACAGCCCCTAAGTAATTAACACTTGTATGGGGCACATTCTAAGCCTGGATATAATAAGGACTTTTTTGATTGTGGGTTCAAATTAGGTGGTTTAAAATAAAATTTAAATTTTTAGAGTTTTTATTAAAAAAAAGTATTATAATAGAATTTTTTAAATTTAAATTTTTATAAAAAAAAGACACCATAATAAAATTATAAACTAGAGGAGATATCTACATTTAAATGAGATTTAGAGAGAATTTCGTGCATAATCTGATTCTTATATGGTAACTTGGGTGCTAAGTCACCCAGGCTATTTGGGCAGCTCGTCAGACGAGCTGTTGGGCCGCGACCCGCGAGCTGTTCAAAGCACGCGGCTTGATTCCGTTGTGGTGGAGTCGTTCTTCTATATCATTCCTTGATATGAGAACTCATGGACTCGATTAATGGCTCGTCGTCCGCTGGAGACTCTTCTGACGACCTGTTGGGCCGTGAGCTATCAGTAGCTCCCGACTGATTCTATATGCCAATTCTATGGCAAACCTTTATTCTTTGAGAAACGCAATGACACGTGTATAGCGAAAAATGAGATGCGAAATTTGACTTCAACAGTTTGCTTAAGCTTAATTTGGATTGATAATATCCTTATTTCATCTCATGTTTACCGGGGTGTTTGTCTTCCTATATTGGTCAATGCTCTTGTATGAGAGGGATTGATTTTTGTTTCGGAAAATGTTTGCTCCTATTTCTTGTGTAGAAACTGATGCTGTGAATGTTGCTGGTATGGCTAAGAGTAGAGTTTTCTCCGTCCTAGAAGGGCTTATTATCTCCTATGTTTTTAATGTTTTAAAGGTTGCTGCTTTTCTCAGATTCTCTAATAGCCTTGCTCATTCTTTGCCAAGTTTGCCTTTGCTTCTCAAACTTGTTACTCTTGAGTATATGCTCTGCGCAGGTGGTTTTCGCATTGTTTGTTGCAATCCATTTGTTCCATTGATGAAAGTGTTTTTCCCTTTTAAAAAAAGTAAATAAATAAATAACAATAACACTAAAGCTACCATGTCATGGACTTGGAGGCTTCATGCGTTTAAATTTGTCTAACTACAAGGATTCGAAGTTAAATCACCAAGGGACAATTGAAGAATCAATAATTTCAATAAACTTTGTCCACGGGTTAACTAAGATAAAAAGTACACTTCAATATTTTCAAATGTAAGCAGACTTAATTTTGCCTGATTAAGTGAAGCAGACTTAATTTTGCCTGATTAAGTGGACAAAGTTAGCCCTTAAAATCAAAATTCAAGACATGAATTTTCAAGTAAGAGGATACACATCATAATTGCTTTAGTATCAGTACGCTATCAGAGTAAAAGAGATCCTTAGCTTTAGCAAGCAATATATAAAAGACAAAAAAAAGGGAAATAAAAAAAGAAAAAAAAAAAAAAGCAATACAAAAGATTGGAGTCTACACAACTCGACAGCATCGTTAAAATTATCCCAGAAGAAAACCAAGTGACGTTTTCTTTGCTTACTGTAAAGTTTCTGACTAGTGATATCGACAATGAGTATTATATACTGATGTATAGGGTAATGCAAGTATAGATGCCTCATAACAGAGAATAAATCATTCACACAAACATCATAAACACCAAAAGCAATGTATGGTACATCAAGAACTATGCAGTATGAGAACGTTGATCAAGTAGATTTTCTTATACTTTCCAAGTATAAGATGCTTTGAAAGAGGGAGAAAATCTGAGAGTTGCGACAGTGTAGTAGTTTGCATATTAATCTCAGAGAAACAAAATATAACAACACTATAAAGAGAACACTTCTTAAAACCAAGTAATAAACATATTCCACCAAGATTCAAATTTTAAAGCATCATGTCTGCATTCATAACATTTAAAATTACAAGAAAAAGCCGGTAAACTCGCCATAAAAACCTGTAGGAACTAGTCATTTACTACATAGATATTCAATCTTAGCCTCCAGGACGAAGCTTGGCAAATCGAACATGTGAAGCACCAAAAAAGCCTCATTAGAGGATATGTGTGGACTTACCGTTTATCGTTATTATGATTTTCCCATTTGATTAATGACCACCTACTACAGGTAAAAAAGTACAGTAACAGCTTTTGATTCAAGGTGGAAAGATTGAGCTTTGGCTCCTGCCATGCTTGGATGCAAAGGACTTCCTGCTAGATGAAGACCGTTTCATTGAAGTAGGCCCTTTCTGCAAAGATCGCCCACTCGAAGAACTTCTCATAAGTTTGTACAGACTCAGATTTCGAGTCACCCGCTTCGACACAATTGCCAAATTAGAGCTTTTCACAGGCACTGCCAACTGGGAATTTGAACTTCCTTGATCAGAAACTATAGTCACAGCACGATATACCGCCGTAGCAGAAGATGCATCCATCGAAACCGATCTCCTCATCGGCTGGAAGTCTTCACCAACCACTTCTCTCTGGTCACCCAAATCGCTCAAAGCTCGAGAATCGCAGCTCCTGACAACAGAATTACACAAGCCCTTTATCCTATCCCCGCCGTTTATTGCAAATTCAATCGGGATTTCGCCACAATCAACTCTGACTCTAACTTCACTAGTCCCTCCATCATCCACCTGATCGCTTAACACTACTCCATGATTCTCAGAATTCTCCCTCATTCTATCTTCACTTGAAACAGCATCTGATCTAGGCTCCGCAACGCTCGCCTGCGGAGCAGTCTCTGCGGAAATATCTCGAACAATTGGTGCGCGACATAGAGGACAGTTTTTGTGAGACCTCAACCATCTATCTATACAACTAATGTGAAAAGCATGGCTACACTTGGGCAAAAGCCGAATATTCTCACCTTCTTCAAACTCACTCAAGCAAACAGAACACTCTGTTCCTTCAATCAAACCCTCATCTTTCTTATACTCGCAGGCCGTGATGGAGTCAATCACAGACTGCGGCAAACCAACGGTGTTGATGTACCATATGTGGTGATCGATAGTGGGCCCGTGATCTTCGTCGACAAAGTCTTGTTGGGTATCGAACAGAATCGGCAAATTCCTCTCCGTCGAAGCGTTACGCCTAGAAAAGTACCTCTTCATAATCATGAAAACAACACAAACAAGAAGAACACCGCTGATCAAACAACCCGTGATCAGAAATCCTTTCCGAACCGCGTGATTTAGAAACGGTGAAGGAGGATCGGGAACTTCACAAAGGTTACCAGATTTTTTGCAATCATCACCTTTCCCGGGCTGGTGTTTTCCCATTTTTGTTAGAGATCAGAGGAGGTTAGAAAGAAGAAGATAAACGGTTCATACCTTTGACGAAATAGATGATTAGATTTTCATGACTAACTTTCCAGTTTCCTCCACATGTTTTGTCGGAATTTGTTGGAAAATTGTGGAATTCGTCATTAAAAATGAATTGGCTTTGAATGAGGAAATGGGTACGAGCTTGTTTTTCCACAACTTTGTGTCGTTTTCAACGGAATGTCACTTTCGTTACAACCTCCTACTTTGGTGCAATGCATTTTACATTTTTACTTGGTAGTTTCGTGATACTTTTGGGGATTCTCTGAAGTCAACGGTCTTTTAAATGACTCATTTCCGCGTTAAGTTTACTATTGTAGGGTATCAACAAAGGGACTTTGATCCACTAAGGCCGTCTTTGGTACGGTGGATAGAGAGTAGATATAACAGAGGGAGTTAAAAGAGATGTGAAATATGAAAGATTTATGTTGTTTGGGTAAGAAGGAGAGAGTTAAAAAGATAAATGAATGTACAATTGTTAAATTATTATATTACTTTTTTTATTATTTTCTAATAGTTTTTTATAGGATAAAAATGTCTTTTGAAGCATAATTAAGATGGATTTTATGAATCCGCACATAAGTAGAATGTGCAATTTTGTGGGCCCAAGAGTAGAGCTCATCCCTTCATCTTCCCCTTCCTTTCTCCCCACCCTCGAATCAAATAAGCAATTATCCCTCTCTCTCTATCTTTTTCTATCCCTTCATCTCTCCTTCAAATCAAATACACCCTAAAAGTGTTTATCTCGCTGTGTAATTCAACTTTTGACATTTCAAATGATATCTAATTAATCATATTTACACATCTTAAAAGTGTTTATTTCGCCATGTAATTCAACTTTTGACATTTTAAATGATATCTAATTAATCATATTTACACATCCTAAAAGTGTTTATTTCGCCATGTGATTCAACTTTTGACATTTCAAATGATATCTAATTAATCATATTTTCATATTATTCAATTGAAGCATGAAAAAGTGGGTTAAAATGCATTTAATATTTTTTAAATAAAGTGGGTGTTATTTTCATAACTCAAGTCACAACTTAATTTTTTTATGTGAGAGAAAATACTATGGTAAAAAAATTGAATTTAAATTTTTATAAGAGAAAACACCAAAAGAATTTAAGTTGTGATTTGACTTGTGAAAAATACAATATATACTGATGCAGTATAATGTAGTTAGTTAGACACCATTTTAAACACTAAATCTGGACAAACAATCTAGATCCTCCAAGATGATGTTTCATAAAGAAAAAAAATACCACATCAGAGTAATGAAATTAATTTTATTGTAAGAATTATACTACGTGGCAACTTTAAAGGTCGTAATGGAAATATAACAATTTTTAAAATAATTTAGGAAAAGAACTTGCATAGTAAAAATTATAGAAGAATGAACAAGAAGTCAATGACAATGAAAATAAGAGGACAATGAATAGACTTACATACTAGAGAAGAGAGAATGAGAGCCACATATACAACATCAGTCATCGGATCTCTGGACGCTTCTCAAGATCGATCTTGGTGATGTGTTGCCTGAAAGACCGATGATCGAGCATTGAAGGAGGAGATGGTGATCATAGATTGTTGGCGACAGTCTGAATTAAGCGTGTGACGGATTGGGTAGACATTAATTGTCTTAATGCTACCAAAAGATTTTATTTAATTAATATGATTTGGTGCTTTTTTATTTGTTAGACATGAATTACAACAGTTTAACCACAATATGGTGATGGAATGGTTTTTGCTCTATTATTCACTGATTTTGTGTGTATATACAATTACAAAGCTGATTCTAAATAAACAAATATAGTAACAAATATGTACAGCTGTTATGCTACAGATAGACCATTGACTTATATTTAAAATGAATGCCTTGAATCATGGATGATTATTGTTGGGGCTCTTTTGGTGAGGGCATATCGACGTGGAAGTTAGAGGACTCGTGACCCCTTTTGGTTCGTGATGATTATGCTCTTGCCGACTGACGTGGTTGAAGAGCTGCTGAAGGCACTTCCTGGCGTCGATGGTAGCCGAGAGGATGAGATTAGCCCCGGTTGAGGTAGGCAAAACCCGGATGAGCCCGAGGATGACGGTATCCAAGGGCGACACCCGTTGCAGATTCAGCTCCAAGATAGTGAAGAATTTCTGATGGGGATCTCCTAGTGAGCATATAATGTGGGAGAGGAATGCACCCAATTTATGGAGGAGGTCCCTAAGTGGGTAACGGAGTCGAATCTCTCCGTTTGTGAATACAATGACTACGACGAACGTAGTGTATAGAAGGATCAAAACTCAGTCTTGGGGGGTGATAAGTGCATGAATTTGCACTTTTGTGATTTTAATTTCAAATATTCCTAAATTTAGAGGATTTAATTTTAATTAGATTTATTTTATTTTTCAGGTTTTTGAAGAAAACAATTGGATTTGGGCTAGTTTACCAAGCAAAACCCAAAAGTTGAGCCCAAGAAAAGCCCAATTCGGCCCAGAACCCATCAGCCCATCAGCTAG